TGGAGAAGACAAGCCAAATGGAAGTGAGGGATTTTGCCTTCTCTGTTACCTGTTAATATCATACCATCCACCCCAAAGCGAAGAGCTTATCCCTCTGCTCTTTCTCACTCTGTTCAAATATTTCCAGTGAAGGGGGGCTTAATCCTCCTCCTGAAGCCCTTTCAGCCTCCTGGCCTGGTAAATGGGGTAATAACACCTACCTCAAGAATTGCTGTGAGATTGAGACTCTATGCCGAGTGAAAGAAGCTAGTAACAAAGATGACATATTGTATGATTCCATTTATAGGAAATGTCCAGACTAGGTAAATCTAGAGACAGAAAGTAGATTGGTGGTTGCCTAGGGCTAAGGGGGAATAAAAGGTATAGGGGATGAGCGCTGAAGGGTACAGGGTTTCTTTTTGAGATGACAAAAATGTTCTCAAATGGACTGCGGTGATGGTTGACATATATGTGAGTATACTGCAAACCATGGACTTGTGCACTTTAAATGGGTGAATTGTAGAGTATGTGGACTCTATCTCAATAAAGCTATTTTAAAAAAGAAGAAGAATTTCTGGGACACACTGACTTGGTGTGTCTTGGCTTGCTACACCCACAGCAGGGACAGAAGCCCGAGGAAACAAGGCGTGTCTGGAAGGCGCTGTGTCTACAGAAGAGTGAGGCTATCAAATCAAGATGGGCACGCATTCTGAGGAGGGAAAACAACGTGAAGCCTGGACCAGCGTTCACGAACTTGCTGCATCTGCCCTGAAGTCAGCAGGTGGGCTGGAAGTCCATGAGGACCCACACTGATCGCTCCCCGCTCCGGGGTACCAGACGCTGCCGCATGACTGCACACTGGGCTTTGCAATCCTGACAACCATCCTCCAGTGGTTCCTCGGAAGTCCTGGCTGCACTACCAGCCTGCGGGCTCCCTGAGTTGCAGGGATTGCTGTTGCATCTTTGTGTCCCTCCCCACTCCCCCCACTCTGCTCTCTGCCACCATCCCCCATGATGCCCACCCCTCTTCACACATGTACTTGGACCCATCTCTCTTAGCAACCTTCACTTTCTCACACACGGGGAGAGCCTGTTTCCAAAACCCGTCATTGTGTTCCCGACCTTTATCTCTACAACTCGTACAGACACCACCCCTGGGCTGATCTTAAATAAGCAGCTCACATCTGCCCCTTTACTTCTAGTCCCTTAAGGGACAATGAGCATAGTGCTCTGAGCAGCCCATTTCCAGGGATGGCATGCTGAACATAGATGCAATGCGTCATACACATGGGTGTGCCTCATTTTAAGAAAAAAGCACTACGTAAAAATCTGATCTCATAAAAGGAGTAAATTTGGGGACAACTATTCACATTCACAAAGAAAGAATCACTGTGACAAATAAATGCTTCTCATGTACCAACATTCCGAACATACTCAATAGACGTAGCTATTACTCTTATTGTTGTCATTCCCATAATTTTGTGTTAATAACACTTCTCTGGGCTTGAGACAGGACAGAAACAATAAAAAAAAAAAACAAAAAACTCCCTTTAGGGGCTGGCCCTGTGGCTTAGCGGTTAAGTGCGCGCGCTCCACTACTGGCAGCCCGGGTTCGGATCCCGGGCGCACACCGATCCACCACTTGTCCGGCCATGCTGAGGCGGCGTCCCACATACAGCAACTAGAAGGATGTGCAACTATGACATAGAACTATCTACTGGGGCTTTAGGGAGAAAAAGGGCGAAAAAAAGTTTAAAAAAAAAAAAACTCCCTTTACCACTGCAGTCTTGTAAGAGGCTAGAAACAGAACAAAAACAGGACTCTGGTAATTAACAGGATGAAACAGCTACTCACTGGGTTTCATGTCACTGCACCCACTGGGCTGGCATGAGCTATGCAGGCTGCTATCATTTCTTCAAAAAGAAATCAGTCCCTTTATTTAGCAAATAGAGGAGCTGGATTAATAATCTGTCATTTCTACAGGATTTTTCTTTTTACATAGGTCAATATTTTTTGTTCCAAATAAAGTCTTCACTGTCTCACACCCAGTAGGTGGAAGAGAATGTTTCCCACTCAAAGAAATGCCTCACAGCCCATACCATAACCCAAAAACTCAGTGCCCAGAATTCCCCAGGTTGGCTCTTTCTCAGAGCCCCACACTTCTAAGACTGTCACAGCAGCCAGGGCAGAGCTAAGACAAACCTGTCTTTCCAGCTATGATTCCAGAGATAACCTCAGTGCCTGCTGGGGCTGAAGGCACTTCCCTTGGCACCATGGCCTCCCGACATTCCTTAGGATGATTAGCCTCTTGCTTCTTTGATGAACCGCAACTCATTTATAGGGATGGATAGTGCTTTGCAATCCGTGTTCACTCTACATCTCCCAGCTCCTCCCTGAGAGGTAGTTGGGATTCTTATTTTACTGATGAGGAAACCGGAACTCAGAAAGGTGAAGGTAACAGAGCTGAGACATCAAGCCAAGCCTTTCAGAGACAGCACCATTTCCATTACCCACGTGCCTCATTTGAATGGTTATGTTATTAGGAGGCAACTTGCTGAGTGTCTAAGCAGCCACCATTTATTGAACACCTACTATGTGCTCTCCCTATATTGCCTCGTTTAATTATCACTAGTTGGTGTCAAATAGACATCTCAAATGTAACACATCCACAAGAGAAATCTTGATTCTGCATCCCCGCTCCTGCTCCTCCCTCGGTCTTCCCAATCTTGGGAAATGGCACCACCATTCACCCACAGACTCAGGCCCCAGTGTTTGGAGTCTTCCTGGAAGGAGGGAGAGAGTGAGGAAGAAGAGGGGAGGTAAGGATAAAGGACGGAAGGCAGCAAGGAGAGAGGGAGAGAGGGAGGAAGGATGAGGGGAGAGGAGAAAAAGAAAAGGAGAAAAGGAGGGAGAGAGGGAGGGAGGAAAACAGAACAGAAGGGAAGAAGAAGAGGGAGGAGGGAATGAGGAGGGGTGAAGGAGAAAGACAGGAATGATGAGGAGGGAGGAAGAATGGAAGGAGGGAGGGAAGAAGGAAGAACTGAAGGATGGAGGAGGAAGGAAGGGAGGGAGGAACAAAGAAAGGATCGTTCCACTATAGGAAAACACAGCTCAAAGCCTGTGTGTGTAGTATTTTTAGCCTGTGTAAGTCAATACCCTCAAAATAACCTTTCATTCCCATTTGTTTGTTTGTTTTATATGGCACTGGATTCACTGCCATTCACAGAGTCACAAAACCATGAACCTCCCTAAAACAACCATTTTCAGAACAGGAATTTGGGCCATCCTAGAGTTGTGTTCAGTTTTTCCAAAGGCAAGATGAACTAGGCATGGTCCCTGAGCCTAAGAAACCTAAAATCTCATCCGAATGACGAGGCTCATACCCAGCTAGTCATAATACAAGGCAAAGATTGACAAGGACCAAAAAGAGCCTTACACAGAGAGAGCCATGGTGGCCTGTGGGAGTGAGAGTGACTCCTACCAGGTGCCTAGAGAAGTTGGCATTGGGGCTAGACCTTTAAAGGGAATGTGGGTGGGAAGGATGAAAGTGTGCTGGGTACCCATCCTGTACCCAGCAGTCATTGGTCCTGCCAAGTGTGTGATTCCCATTCTACACATGCTGAAACTGGGGGGGTGAGAGGGAAGTGGGGAGCAGATTAAGTAACTTGCCCAAGGTCATGCAAGGAAAGTGAAATCCACACTCGAAGGGAGATTTCCTTTTTTTTTTTTTTGGTGAGGAAGATTAGTCCTGCGCTAACATCTGATGCCAATCCTCCTCTTTTTGCTGAGGAAGGTTGGCCCTGGGCTAACATCCATGCCCATCTTCCTCTACTTTATATGGGACGCCACCACAGCATGGCTTGACAAGCGGTGCATCGGTGCACGCCAGGGATCCCAACCTGTGAACCCCAGGAGCGCACGCACTTAACCGCTACAGCACAGGGCTGGCCCCTTGAAGGGAAATTTCAACTCAGGTCTGACAAGAGAATTCAAGCAGAGATGTGTGATGTGTCTGGACCACATGGCCTCTCCCATGAAGATTTCTTGGACAGTGGCTTTCTCCACAACTATACTCCCCACTTCCTCCTCCCTTTGACCAGCATCATGTCTGTTTCCCTTTCAAGAGTGAAAGCTCCTTGAGGAGAGGAAGGTTTCTATTTGGACAATGTTTCAATCAATATGTTGTGAATTCCCAGCAAGTGCTTCTATCCCCCACTGTCTGAACGTTTATCCACCCATTCCTTGCTTCACTCATCCCAACTGCATTCCTTAGCACCTACTCTATGTCAGGACCTGCGGTGACTCTAGGACTAAGAGATGAGCATCACAGAACTCCCCCAGTGTAGTGGAGGGGACAGATGTGTCAACAGGAACAACAGTATTTACCCAGGGCACACTGAGGGGTGGAGAACTGTGGCCAGAACCACAAAGTGGGGGAGGTCAGAAAAGCTTCACTGGGGAGGATGGGGTGTGGCCTGAACCCTGTCTTGGAAAGCAGGGCAGGTGGGAGGCATTGCAGGAGGAGGGAACAAACTCTGCAAAGGCACAGAAACATGGAATACTGTAACAGGAACTGAAAGCCTTTGAGACTGGAGCACAGAATGAGGGCAAAGGAGGAAATATAACTAAAGAGATCATCTGGGGCCAGATCTTAGAATGCCAGGATAGGGAGTGTCATCTCCATCTTGGGGTCAGTGAAACCATTGCAGGGCTTTAAGCCAAGGAAAGATGTGAACAGGTTTGTGTAACTGTAGCTCTAACGATAGAATGTAAGGCAAGAGCCTGAAGGCAGAACCAGGAGGCTACTGCAATAATCCAGGCGTGAGGAAGAAAGAGAAAGAAGGAAGGGCAGGAGCCAGAAAAGATGTTCAGGAAGAGGGAGACAGAAAAGACAAAAGGGAACAAGTCAAAGGAGGAAAGGGCGCACGCAGAGCGGCTGCCAGGCTGCAGCTAGCGGGCGAGCAGGCTGGGTTCGCGGAGTACTCGCCCGCGCGCAGTCGCCCGCCGGCTGGGAAACTCACCGCGGAGCCAGCGCGCGCCGGCGTGCGTGTCCTTGAGGCGGATGAGGCGACGGTGCGCGGAGCTATGGCCCACGTACCACAGCATCCAGAGTAGCTGCAGCAGCATGAGCGCCGTGAGGAAGCAGAGCAGGTCGCTCTTGCCCACGCCCGAGGCGTGCACGGCCCAGGCCAGCAGGAGCAGCAGCCCCGCCACGAACACGTTCAGCCCGTACTGGCTGCTCAGCGCCTCGGCCAGCTTCTGCGGGACACTAGCGCAGACGGCGCCCCGCCGAGGGGCCGGGGACTCCGGGAACCCCGGGGCCGGGCGCTGGGGTGGCGGGCAGACCGCAAGCCCAGACGAGCCCCTGTCCCGGGCCCTATGAGCCGTCCGGGGAGAGGCAGGAGCCCTCTGGCCCTCGGGCATCGTTGAGTGACCTGCACGGAGCCTAGTCCTTGGGGTGGCTGCGGCCCGGGCCCCACCTCCTGCCCCTGACCCCTGCCCTTGCCCTCACCCCTCTACCAACCGTACCCCCCACCCTCGCGCCCCCTCCAATTCCTTCCCCGACGCCCTCTGACAATCGGCCACACTTTCCGGATCACCGTCCGACGCCTGCTCTCCCCGCTTCTGCCCCTCTACCCTGGGTCAATGTACCCACCCGGTCCGCTTACCACCGTCCCCTACCCGGTTGACCCCAGCTGACCCCGGCTTCTTCGCGCTCCCCAAGGCGCACTGCCCGCTCCTTCTCACTTGGCAATGCCCGGGTCAGCCCTCCCGCCCACTCTGCGACCCACGTGGGCCGTTGCCCGCCCCTGATGCCTCCGACCCGGGTTGGCCCTGTGCCAACACCCGCGTGTCCTGCCGCTCCCCTCCTCGCGCGCCGGGACCCCGCCTGCTGTCCGCAGCCCGCTCCCCTGCGCCCGCGCCGGCAGACCGAGCCCTGCCCGGGAGCCCCGGAAACCCTGGCTGGCGACAGAGGCCTCCCGCCGGCTCCCGGGGTGTGGAGGGGAGACAGGGGGTCGCGATGAGCCAGCCCGCGGGAATGGGCGCGGGAGCGTGGTTTCGACGAAGCTGGGCGCCCAGGGATCTGCGGGTGCGCGCCCTGCTCCGGGCTGTCCCTGGGCGTCTGCTTCGCGGACCACACCAGAGTCTAGGTGAGCCTGAAAGTTTCCGTGTGCGAGAGTCTGTCTGTCCTCGTCCCTGCCTATTTCTACAGTATGTTTTCTCTGTGCAGGTCTATCTGTCTGGCCATCTGTCCTCGGGTGTGTCTGGTTGGGTTGGGGGGGGGGTGCCGTGCCGCGCCCAACCCTAGATCTATGAATAGGGGGAGGAGGTGTCTTTTTGTTTGTGTCTATGTTTGTCTGTCGGTCTGATGTACCTGTGTGTCTGCCTGGAATGCCCAGATACGGATAAGACAGAAGCCAGTTCCCAAGAAAAGAGATCATCTGTCTCCCTCCTCCAAGGGAATGGGGAGCTGCTTCTGGACCGAGCGGAGCTGATGGTGGGGGGGTGCCCAGGGTCCTGCCTGGAACCGCGGGCGCCCGAGCGCCTCCCTCAGCCCCCCAGCCCGCCGGAAGCTGACCAGGCCGCCAGAGTGGCCCGCGCAGGAGGTCCCAGTTTTCCGCAATAGAGGGTCCTAAGGGCAGGCATGGCTGAGGGTGCAGCCGGAGCGGGGAGTTGGGAGGGAGCCGCTGGGGGATGGGAGCCTCAGAGACGGCAGGCAGGCCTCATGGGGGAGCCACCTGTGCAGTAACATGGGGCTCAGCACCCAGGAGGCACCCTCTCCCCTTTGGTTTAATGCTCTGCTGTTGCTATACTGAAATTCTTCATTTTTGATCAAGGGGACCCACATTTTCATTGTGCCTTGGATCTAGCAAATTACATAGCCAGTTCTGATTGCCACAGGGTCCTAGCTGCGGGCGGGTGGAGTCCCGGGTGGGGAGAGAGTCAACCTGGGGACCTTGCCTTGCCTTCCTTCATTTTTTTCAGTTCATTCATGTGGTCAACACATATTTATCCAACACTGAATCATTTCCCAGGCCCTGTTCTAGGCACTGGGGATTCAGCTATGAAGGACTGCCCTCACGGAGCTGACACTCAGATGGAGACACACTCAATAGCAAGTATTTATTGAGAACTCCCTGGGAAGCTGGAGAACATCCAACGTGAGACTCAGCCCTGCCCTCTAGGAGCTCATGGCCCAGAGGGGGAGACCCAGCAAGCAGCCCCTGTGAGCAGGGCTGCCTGGAGGGGAGAGTTGGGCTAGCCCTGAGTCTGCCAGAAAGGGTGAGAGGTTCTCAGAGGGGCAGCACCTGCACAGTCTTTACACCTCGGAGTAGCAGATGGCCAGGTGACATGGGGTAGGGCATAGGACAGCGTTCTAGAGAGAGGATGGAACACATGCACAGAAATGACCGTGAAGGCAGGTAGTGACCAGGGAACATGTCCATCAGTACGAAGCTTAGAGTGTGCCCTTCAGCTGGGTGTCCCCAGAGCCAAGCCAGGTGGATGCTCAGTAAATAAACCAAGGAGTTAATGAATGCACAAATGGATAGATGCTGCACAAATGAGCAAGCGAGTCCTCCGTCTCATCATCAGATCAACGAGGACACGGGACTCGGTGCTGGGTCTTCCCCCCTGTGCTCCATCCTTGCTTTATTCCTTCTTAGACACATGGTTACCTGGAATGTGCATACATCTGTGGCCTATCTCTCCCACTGTGACGAGAGCTCTATGAGAAGGACGGTGCCTGTCCTGTCCACTGCTGCATCTCCAGCACATAGAACAGGGGTGCCCAACACACAGTAGGTGCTCAATAAATGTGTGTTGCATTGTGTCTCCCAAAAGATGTTGCAGTCCTAACCCCCAGTACCTGTGAATGTGAACTTATTTGGAAATAGGGTCTTTGCAGATGATCAAGTTGAGGTGATTAGGGTGGGCCCTAATCCAATATGACTGTGTCCTTATAAAAAGGGGACATTTGGGGGCCGGCCTGGTGGCGCAGCAGATAAGTGCGCACTCCGCTTCAGCGGCCCGGGGTTCACCGGTTCCGATCCCGGGTGCACACCAACGCACCGCTGGTTAAGCCATGCTGGGGCAGTGTCCCATATAAAGCAGAGGAAGATGGGCACAGATGTTAGCCCAGGGCCAGTCTTCTTCAAGGAAAAAAGGGGACGACTGGCATCAGATGTTAGCTCAGAGCTAGTCTTCCTCACAAAAAAAAGGCGGGGGGGCATTTGAAGACAGACACATACAGAGGGAAGATGATGTGAAGACACAGAAAGAATGCCATCCACAAGCCAAGGAACACCTGAAACTACCAGAAACTAGGAGAGAGCCTGGAACAGATTCTTCCTCACAGCCCTCAGAAGGAACTAATCCTGCCGAGACCTTGATCTCGAACTTCTAGTCTTGAGAATTGTGAGACGATCAATTTCTGTTGTATAAGCCATCCAGTTTGTGGTCTTTGTTACGGCAGCCCCAGGAAACTAAGCCACCCTGCTGCTTTACTCTGTGGCCCCCTGTGGATGTACTTGTCCACCTCTCCATCCCTCTGTTTCCCACATGGCATAATCTATTCTTTAACTGTCTTTCCAATTTTGAGCTTTCTAAAGGCAAGAACTATGTCTAATTCATTCTACTCCCTAGCGCCCAGCATGTGTGTTTGTTTTTTTTTTTTTCCATTCATTGAGAAATGTGTACTGAGCACCTCCCATGTGCCAGGTACAGGGGCAGGCCTGGGGACAACAAGATGAAACCCACAGTTTGTACCAAATGCCATGGGAGCCTGGAGCTGGGGGGCAGGGGGGGAGAGCAAGAGAGAGAGAGCGAGAGCGTGTTTAGTGCCTGGCAGATGGCAGGGGCTCCATGAATGCCCCAGTCCTCCATAAAAACCATCTCTCTCTCCTTTATTTCACTTTACAATTTTATAAAGCACACTCACATCCATTATCTCTTTTTCATACATCAGCTCAAGTCAACACGGATTTGTAGGGAAAGGCACTATCAAGTGGCAGTCAGGCGGGTGAGTTCTAAAGCCAGGCTGCGAGGTTTGACTCCTGGCTCCATCACTCACTGCTGTGTGACCCTGGACAAGTTACTACACTGTGCCTCAATTTCCTCATCTGTAAAATGGAGCTCTTAATAGTAACTATTCTTACAAGTTTCTAGGAGGACAAAATGAGTTAGTACAGACGAAGCACTTTGGAAAGTGCCTGCCAAATACAATGTCCCTAAGACACCTTCTTATTTACTGAGCACCTGCTGTGTGAGACACTGAGCAGAGGCTATGCGGGAGAGGCAGCCAGCTGTCCATGGAACATGTGCTCCCCTTCCACAGTGTGGAGTTGTCAGTGGGAAGGGGCTGCCCAGCCAGGATTCTAATTCCCAGTGCGCCTTGCAGCTAGGTGGGGCCAGGTGACGAAGTCCTGCTCAGTGGAGTACAGGCGGAAGGGATGTGTGCACTCCCAGTCCCAGCCCACGGAAGCCTCCTCTGTGATCCTCCGTATTCTTTCCTACCCCTCCTACCAGCTGGATGTCCACATCGACCCCCAGAGCAACCTCGGGAGCCTGGTGGTGAGGACAGCAGAGCCTGTCAGCCTGAGTCCTCGCAGTGAGTGGTGAAGCAGATTCTTCCTGCTCAAGCTGGACCTTACACGAGTAAGAAATCAAGTTCTATTGTGCTGAGCCACTGCGACTTTGACATTTACCTGTTACAGCAGCTCACGGTACCTTCACTCGTTTAGATCACAAAGATAAATAACATGCAATCCCCGTCTGAACATCAGGCGGACCTCCCTTCTCCAGCCTACCTCGATTCTTTTTAATAAGCAACGAAATGTAAGTTTCTGGACACAAAAGAGAGACTAAAGTCTGTCCCCTTTACTCTCTACTCAAGACAACGCTAAAACTGATCAAGGAATTTACCCACACTGCTTTCTGCCTTCCACTGATGAAATTTTTTCAAAAGTCTGAGCTACAGAGGACCCTCAGTTTCTTATGACTGCCCCCAGCTCAGTGGTGGGCAGACACGGGGGTCTGAGAAACGGTGGCCTCTGACAGCATCTGGGTCCCTCGCTTTCACCTCCTTCGGAGCACATTACTCCCACCCACGTGCCACTGTGACAGCTGGTCACACGGCGCATCTCAGCATAAGGGACTAGAAATGCCTTGACCAGGCAGCTGCTTTCCAGTGACAATTCAGTGTTATGCAGACAATGGTGAGACATGCTGCCCCCGAGACATGGGCTCCCCAATTTCAACAAGGATGATGGGATTCCAGAGGGGCAGAGGCCACGTGGCAGTGCTTAAATGCCACAGATAACACAGGCACAGCTACCCTGATGGGCAACAGGACCCAAGTGCCAGTTAGAAGATTTTGCCCCCAGTTACCTTTGGTGGTGGCTATATAATCCCAGAGTTTCTAA